GATTTTATAGTTTTTTTTGTATCAAGAAACCAAAGTCAATGATTCTCAAAAATATTTCAAAGGAAAACACATCCCATTGTACGTCCATTGACCATATAGTCCGACCCATTTTGACCATGGAACAAAATGGGTTATGCCCATTTGGACTAAAGTCCATATGGTCATGACCATAACTGACCACTTTTGTAATGGATTGGGTTGGACAATGGTCAACCATCCCATTTGACAGCTCTAGTTTGTGGTAACATGCAACTCTCAGGTCCTCTCTTGACACATGACATATGCAACTCTCAGGTCCTCTCTTGACACATGACATAACCTGCAGCTGCAACTCTTAGGTCCTCTTTAAGGCAAAACAGTACAGTTATTGCTTCCATACTTCAATTGCCAACAAAAATCACTCACATATGCTCAAACATGAGAAGACGCAAACATAAGAAACACCTTTCTTTCTTTTGCACTTTTTATGTGCAACCAGAGGAATACTCTTACACTTCAAATCCCTTACAAGAGTGAAAGATTTTATAACTTTGCAGTACCAAATGAGACAAACACCACAGAGACAGTAAGAACCAAATGACAAGTAAAAGTGTTTATGTCTTTTGACTCTTTTGATCTCACCATCCTCTTTGAGTATGTGTTTCTCTGGAATCACTTCTTCAGAGTCTTTCTTTTATCTTTGTTATTAACGTGTGCTTACAAAGCACAAGTAAAGTATCCCTCCCTGTAAACACAAATGCACGTAAAACATGGGGAGAGTCTAAGAAAGGTTTTCTTTTTGTCTTTTGATTTACACTTCTCCCGGTGTTTTTGAGATCTTTCACCGCCCCAGCGACTAAAAATGCAGACTCTCGATCCCTTTAAGATTAGCCTCGTAGTTCTTCGTGACTGAAGTATTTCCTCCTGAAGGAGATGATAGCTTGTTGTTCTCAGACGGGACGATAGGGGAGCTTCGAACACCATGGATCTTTGGGTTGGAGCCTGATCCAGCTTCAATGATTTGAGGGTTTGATGGCTCAGAATCAGTTCCCAGAACTCCAGCCTCGCGACTACTGGATACAGGAGCACGTCTTGATGAACCAGTTGCACGGAGAAAGCTAGAACTAGATAACTGTCACAGGAAAAACAACTCCGTTACCATTTATATATAGAACAAAATCCAATGCATCATATTTACACAACAAGATACTACATAATTGTTGTATATTTTTTAGATTCAGCTGCAAATCCTTGTGTAGACAACTGTGGCTGAGTCTCAAGGACTTACCAGAACGTTTTACGGGAGCTAAAAAAATGCTTGTACATGGGGGAAACTTTATGTACTCACCACTACATCTTTAGATATTGCAGGATCACTTGAAACTGGTGCTTTCTGTTTAGCCAAGCTTCCTGAGCTAAAAATTTGTCCAGAACTTCGTCTAGGGTTTCCTGATGACCAGCCAGAAGGTCTAGCTTCGTCGCCACCTGCAGTGGAACCAAAGAACAAATCAAATGGGTAAAAACCATGTCTGTGTAGGACAGGGGATCATAGTTAAATGCCTAATCAAATATGGAACGAAAGTACTCAAAACAGGAGCAACCTGATGGCCTCTCAGCACTAGCAATAGCAGGGGGGAGTCCAGAGCTTGGCCCAACTCCAGGACCCTAGAAGAAAGCTATGCACATTAGCAGGACCGAAGTAGAAAAGTGAGATTCAGAAACAAAAAAGAAACCATAATTCTTACATGGTGACGGGGAGGAGGAGTAGAAATTTGTGATTGCTGATACTTCAAGATCGTCCAATCAAATACATAATCAAACTGGAAGCCTATAAGCAGAGGACATAAATTTAAATTAACATGTTGCTCGACTGCTTAAAGTTATATCTCTTTCACTAGACTAGAATTAATAAAAGGGATGACGGCACCAGACCTTCGCGAATAAACAGGTCCCGGAAAAGCCGTTTCAGGTAGGCATAGTCTGGCTTGTCATCAAATCTCAGGGAACGGCAGTAATGGAAATAAGATGCAAATTCTGATGGATAACCTCGGCATAAAGACTAAAAGAAGAAAAGGATATTTAATCAGTATTAGACCATTAGTATCACCAACACAGATCTCTGGAGAATATTTTACCTCAATAGATGTTGATACTTTCTTTTCACTGATTTTCTCATACTTTTGCTTCTTATTGCCAGCTTTCAGTCCTTGCCAAGGAAGACTGCATTATATTGGGAAAGTAAGCCAAAGGCCGCCTTATAGAGAGCAAATGATTACATACCAGCATTGAAGGCACGAGAGTTACATACCTTCCTTTTAAGAAGTACATGAGAACAAATCCAAGTGACTCCAAATCATCTCTACGACTTTGTTCTGCAATAATTGACCATTGCTATCCAGACTTACGTTCTTTAAAAATTTAGAAAGTTAAACACTAAATGAACTGGTATACCAATGCCAAGGTGAGTGTTCATGCTAGCATATCTAGCAGTTCCAGTCAAGTTTTTGTTTTCCCTGTAATACACAAAATATTAGGACCGTAATTACTAAGCTGATACACATATACTGCAATCACACTGCATGCATCAAAACGATTTTCTTATATACTAATTCAGCTTCACAAAGACTAGAAAAATAAACTCAATATCTGAGTAAGAGGCTATCCAAATACTAAAACGACAGTAATTTATGTTAAGACCTTATTCCAAATGAAGGAAAGCCTAAAAAAACTCGTTTTTTCTCTATACACATTTATAGCCACAAAAACATGGGAGAAGCAACCATTATACTCAAAACCAAGGAAAACTAAGCCCAGTTTTCTAGAAAAGGAAATAGTCAACAAGAAACAGGTAAAAGACACCAGGACAGAAGAAAATGTTTAAAATAACCACACTGCAATGCCTATTGGAAGAATAAAATTCCCTAAATCGAGAATAAAGATGACTCGACCTCTTTGACAGTGATGTGTTACATAGAAGAATATCATGTGAGACAACACAGTCACACTGGGTAGTAGAAGATAAAAGCAAACTGTGCATACCACTGGCTTAACCTATTATTTTCTTATCTAGTATGTTTAGTCCTTTAATGTGCATACATAAGTAACAGAAGCACAGGCTTGACAACGTTGACAACGAAAACCACAGGGATATGGCCAACCTATAAGGTATATGCTGATTATTAGAGTCTCTATACTTCTTTGCCAGACCAAAGTCGATGACATATACCTGTATTCAGCAACACAACATCAAGCAAATTATTGAAGAGAATAAAAAAATCTTACAATCAGCTCTTTTCCACAGCTACCTGATTTGCGCGCCTCCCGAGACCCATCAGAAAGTTGTCAGGCTTGATATCCCGATGCAGAAATGACTTCTGATGGACATACTCAATGCGATTGATCTGACAAGAGAAACAAAAATATCCTAAATGTTTTGGCAATTTCTTCAATTCAACGTGATAGAACTATTTTTTAGGCAATATGATGGGATCCTACCATTTGATCTGCAAGCATTAGTACAGTCTTTAGTGAGAGTTTCCTACTACAGAAATTGAATAGATCTTCAAGGCTAGGCCCCAACAAGTCTATCACAAGGACATTATAGTCCCCTTCAACACCATACCATTTAACATTTGGAACGCCGGCTAAAACCAAGGAAAGTAAAGCAACCCCTCTAGAATAAGAAAGAATAAATTACAAACTGCAAATGTAAACAAGTACAGAGAACTAATTTCCTTACTTCCTCCTTGTAACACTTTATACAATTTTGATTCATACAGCAACTGAGGATGCTTAGTTTTCACATTTTCCTGAAAGAAGAAAATACAATTCCGTCAGAACATACACAGCAGCCAAACTAAGATAAATCTGTCACATTTCAAAACAAAAAAGAAATATGAAAACAAACATGAGGATTTGATTTAACATACTTTACAGCCAGAACCAGTACACACAGGTAACAAAATAAGCATATTCGTAAGAAAGCCAACTTTCAATACAATAATATGTGTAGCTGTCAGCTTCATAATTAAGCCACAACAAACTTCAAAAAATTCAACAGGCTGGGCCCACCAGTTGCATGTAATTTATCGTGGACTCTTACGAATTTATTCAGCATTAATAACACAATGTCCTCAAGAATCAAATAATAGCTCTCAGTTCTTACCAAAAAAAATTCAGATTTTAGCTACAAAGAAATGGACTTGAGTACTCAATGAAAAACAGCATAAGTAAATCAAGATGCTACTACAATCGCATGACCAGAATACAAAAAGCATTCCTTTCCGTCTAAAAACACAGTATATACCAATAAGAGAAGCTACAAGCTAAAGAAAGACCAAGCAATTACATAAGATTTGTACATAATAATATGCTACTACAATCACACATTTCTTTCCACTTTTCGAGAAAAATTCAATACTTTATTAATTGGGGAATTTATGTCTATACAGATCAAACGTAATAATAATAGACCTCTCAACATTACTAAACTAAGTTTCTCTGTACATCAATGATCTCTCTACTTCAATACACACTGAAAATGGTAAAAAATTCACTTACAAGTTTAATAGCCACTTCTTCATTAGTCTGGATATTGGTACCTACAAAACGCCATATCCAATTCAAATCCATGTATTCAAAACAGAAAATTATACTCATATGAGAAGTGAATTC